TCTGAAAAATGCCTTCTACAAGGCAGATGTCTGTTTCAAAGTACAATTCATGACTTCAGAGCTCTTAGAATGTAAACATCTGCTTTTAAGTTGCAAATAATCAATAAATGCTAAMAACTCACGTTGCGGTATTGCCTGTACAGTACACTTCCTCTTTACAATAAGAGACCATAAATACAGAGATTGAATGATTTCAAGTCTACAATATGGCCAGCTGACACAATGTAYAAGATTGTTAACTAGTTACATCCATGAACTCCCACAAATAATTTTGCTGCATAGATTTTAATACAGTTTATGACAGCTGATGATACTTTGTGTGTTTGCTGTTTTTGTTTTGATCAGCTGACTATAGAATTTCCTGTAATATCTTTTAAAACTAGAAATACAATTTAGTATTTTCTGAAAATCAAAACAGGAGGTTTTGTACACTAGGCTTCAAAATAATATGTTGTAGTTCTTTGCACTTAAATTTCTAATGATGATTTAGAACGCGGTTACATTTCCATTCACTTAAAATAACAATTTTCATAAAAATCAATTGTTTCAGACACAGAAGTTCCCTTTTTTTTTAATACTTCCTTACTTAACTTACGTAGTACTTAAAGTTTGGACAGCGCAAAAATTAACAGTGCAAAGGATTCATTAAGGTTTACTTATTATTTTGTTGGCTTCAGCTATATTTCAGTATCACTTAATCTTTATAGCACATACATTGCTAGGATTTCATCAAAATGCACAGCTTTGCATTGACAAAATCAGATAACATAATTAAAAGTTTGTTTCCTAATTGCTCCATTAAAAAAATTGTAAACATTAATAAGAATTGCCCTCAAAAAAAAGATTTCAGAAGAGCTATTTGCTTACTAATGCAAGACCTATGCTATGCATTATAACACTATTGCAGTAATTTTTGAGAAGACATTGCATTTACTTTTCTCCCTTTTCTAAATATGCAAAGCCCATTTTCTGTTTAGATGCTTACCTCTAGTCTGTTAAAAAAAAAAAAAAAAAGCTCATACAATGCACTGTATAAATACTCAAATCTAGAAGCCCTTCAATTATTCTCAAAGCAGATCTAGATTGCCTTATTTATATAAAAATATTTGTTGAGTAAGGATGACAGGATGTAGTTTTAAATGCCAGATACACATATTTAAAGTTAAATCTCTAGTCCTTGAATATTGTCCTTTCTTTAGGATAGAATATTTCATAGCTTTCCAAAGAAACTTAGGAAAGCAGATGAGTATTTTCCATGAATCTGCCACTAAATTGTTTCCTGTGATATTTCCTGTAACCCTTTGCAAACAAGCAGTATAGCCTGCTCGTAAAAATATGAATCCTCTRATATTCACAGTGTACTACGATGCGCAACATCTCAAGGATAATTTACCTCCTCTGTTAAATATTCAGGCAATACAGAGGGCTTAAATGTGACTTCAAGGCAGTAYATGATGTTCAGAGCAAAAATTTGACATCAGAATTCAGCCTTGTTTTAAACATAACCCAGCCTATTCTTGTGTAATGGCCCAAGCCAAAAAAAAGTCTCACTACAGCACACTGATGTGGTATTTTTCTTATTAGTAACAGATTTATTTCTCAAGGACACACTGGGAGTGGGTGTTAAGAATAAAAAATTAATATTTTTTTTTTTTTTTGCACTGAAGTGCAAAATGCTTGGCTATTGAATACTTCTTAAATATAAAGGTAACATGATTGTCTCAACAGGGGTATAGATCCCATGTGTGATTTAAATATCTAGAAAATATCTTGAAAGGGAGGTTTCCTGATAAGYCTATAGACTGCTTTAAACTTGACAAAATGCCCATGGGGTCTGAGGTGAGGTACTTACCAGAGAATACTATCCCAGAAATTTTGGAAATAGTTTTAAATTTCTGTAGAAAGGCTGTCATTCTCTGTGATGCACCTATAAGGTTATTTCAGAGTTGCACAAGGAATTTACCACTAGTTGTTAGGTTTGGTGTTTTTTTTTTTCCTCTCTTTCTCACATAATGAACTTGTCAGAGTAGCAAGGGCCAAAGCAGCAATCAGATTAACAGAATTTAACATTACTTTTTTAGGAAGACATATGCTTTAGAAACCCACAGATAAGGTTCTGTACAAGTCAGTTGCTTAATGGTTAAATAGTCAAATACAAACACAAATCCATGAATATATTCACTCATCCTCCCACTAAGTAGTGCCTGCTTCTACTGGTATATGACAGGAAAAATCAAGGCATTATATTCTCATCTGCCTGATCCTGTCTACAACACAAGAGGCACTGACTCTTCTGACATCGACTGCGAAGTAATACATTATAGAAGGAGGAAAAAGTCAGGCATTAAACAACTTTCTAGTGGAGGCATATAACACAAACAAACAATAAATGCACCAAAATGCTATTCAAGTAATAAATTTTACTTTGAATTCACTATGTCCATATATCAGATAGGTGAATTACAGGCTTCACTGAGGTCAATGAATGTTGGAATGAGGATTTCTTCCAGGTATTTTACTAGTTGGTCAAAAGCCTGATCTTGCAAATATGCAAGGTGATTTTTATTGTTTGCATTCCAGATCATTTTCATGTAGTCACCCAAACATAATTTGCAGGATTAGGCTCTTAAATATTTTATTGGTTTATCAACAGATTTATATGTAGTATGTTAATCAAAAAGAACATATTAATTCATCATGAAAGATTTCTGTGGCTTCTATAAGAGCTTGTCATTCTTGGCAAATACTTGTTCCTACAGATGCTTAGATTTCCAGTGCAGTTTCATTTGGGTAGAATTCTCATTCTTCTGTATATTTTTTTTCCCCCTCAAAATGAAAGCATTTATTACATAAAGGTCAAATGAATACTTTTTTATTTACTTATAATTTGAGGGAAGTTGAGGCAGTAGAATGAAATTATTAGATACAAATGAAAAACACAAATGGTCTCTGAAAGATAAATTCAGGACTAACATAAACTGGCAGAAGCCAGTTAATTAATCTAAAAGTAAACTGAAGTTGATGGCTGTCTTTTGTCCTGGAGTATCTATATGCAATTTGTCATAAATCAGCTGCAGTAGCTAATTAGACTGAATATAGCATGCTACCCTAATTACAATGCTCAGGTTTTATAAAAATACATTCTTATAGCTTAAATGTATATATTAAGTCCCGTATATAGCAACGTGGTTTTACTGACTGCTTGTAAAAAGTTAGTTTTCAGAGTTAACACTAAACATGATCATAAGAGGTCAGATTTGTGTCACTTTACCTGAACAATTCACTTCCCTGATTTCAGTATGATTTATGTGCAAGTGAAGGAGGATGTTACTTGGATATGGTTCAGAAAACAAGAATGATACATCCAAATGAACTGCAAGGAATCAGTATGAAATTACATGCTGCAGTTATTAAAAATATATCGTGTAGATACTGTGCTTACCTAAAGCAGCAAAATATAATTATCAAATTTATATTTAACCCAGGGATTAAGATTAGCTCTTTTATAAACAGTTCTACAGAGCATTTGACCATCAGTGAACAAAACCCAGGCTTTACATGTTGATTCCTGAAAACATCATTTGCAGTAAAAAGAGAACCTTTAAATATCCAGTTTTGGTTCAGAGTCAAAATGCTGCCTAAACTGCTAACATAATTCCTACAGCAGTCCACATTTCCCTTTTTGATCTGCTATCAGACTACTTAAAAAGTATTTTCAGCTGGCTAACACATCACACTGAGTTTCAGCCTTGTACAGAAAAGCTGAAACTATTTTGAGAACACTCAGTCCACTACTTTTTCATGATGTTTTATTTCATAATGACTAKCTGCACTTATTCTAAAATGATAAAACCTGATAAGGATAACATCTTGACTGTTACACATTGCCAATTTATAATTGATAAACAAAACATTTTTTAAAATATTGACTAATTAGCATAGAATGTATGCTCCTGATAACATTTTTGTTAAACTTAGGTGTCAGCTTTTCCATATGTCCCTTCTGGAGGTCTGTAGTACTTTGGGAAAGCCATCAGCTGTATCATGTTGAATGCATACTTTCTGCATTTGACATTCTTCAGAACATTCTCTATGCGGCATCCTTCTCTAGTGAAAGGGGGAAAAAGTACAACTTCATGAAACACAGAATAAATAAATATGTTTTATTTGTTCATTGCAGAGTTTCAGCAACAGTTGAAGTAAAAATAACAAAGATTCAACTCTACATTTTTTGTTTTCCACAAGTGATGATACATCTTACAAAATTAAATCCAAGGCCAGGCCCAATACAGTTATTGCCCTCAGAAACAGATGATACGATTTTTTTCATAATATATTTGCCCTTAAGCTTTAAAGTTTAGTAAAAAAATTATTGATACATTTCATTTTGATTCCAGAAATATATTTGCCTTCTAAATATTCTCATATTTTTCAAATTACTTTACTATATATATGAGAGTATCTGTTGCCCTAAAAATGAGATTTTTAGGAATAAGGCATTTTATTAAGTCTGGCCCTATAGATTTGTGAAGGAAAGTTTCATCTCTGTTTCATTTCCTGTATGTTCAGCTTTGCAATGAAAAAAGAGAAATGGCTTTTCAAATAGCCCAATCCAACACTCTGCTTTTATAAAGGAAAGATGCTTGTTCACATACAGTACAAAAGTCACAAGTGCCAAAGTGGTGCATCAAGACAAACAGGACTTCATTAAAAAGAATATAAAAGTGTCTTGAAAGCAAAAGCAACTAAAGCAACAACTACAAACAGGTTAATTTAATTACAAAACAGAACTTATTCTATTCCATTTAGTTACTTGACAGAAAAGGGTTAGTTGTAACAAAGTAATAACCTATTTGTCAAATCAAAAAAAAAAAAAAATCCCATCAGCTAATAGTAACAATGAAAATAACACAAAGAAAGTAAGTCTCACAAACCACCGCCCTATAATATTTGGCTGGGGGATAGTTTGTACTGTGCAAATTCATTTTTATTTTAGATTGTTACTCTCGGGGGGAAAAAAAGGGTTCAAGCATTCAGGATTCTACATCATCTTGTATACAGTGACAGCATTTTAAGTGGGCTTTCTTTGAGCTAATTACAGTGGGAAAGCTTTACCAGGAACAGAAAGAGCAAATCAATTTCAGTCAATGCATAGTAATAGAGTTCAGAAAAATGATGAAAGCATTGTACATTTCAGACATTTCTATCTTAAAGGTGAATCCTTGGGGTCTGAAAATGTAGAAATATTACAGCATAATTCCTTTTTCTAGAGTTTGTTGCTGTTTGTAGAAAAGGAACACAAGTGCAGTTTATTGATATTTGGCTAATAGCAAAGCAAGACTTAAAATAAGCCACACAACCAGCAAGTGTGAGCTGACAAGCAGCAAGGCGACAGGATAGAAGTGACGAGAAGTTGGCTTGTTATCAGTTAGACAGCCTGTTTCGGGATCATCCGATTCATTCAGTGCTCCCTGGGTTTGTCTGCTGTTAAACATGGGAAGTTAGGAACAAACAGAACAGCATTTAAACAGCAAAGAAAGCCAACATGTAGGTATTCTGACAACAAAGCAAGCAAATATAGCCATTCTGGTACCAAGGACTTAGCCTAAGTAGCTTCATATGTTTAATCTCTATTACAGTTTACATGGGAAGAACTAGAGATTAATGCTTTTAAAATCCTGCTAAGTATCTTGAAGTGTAACAACTTTACATGACAAAGTACAAGTTATGAGATGAGCTATACTGCCACTGAAGCAAACATGCACACCAACCAGAAATGAAATAAGGACATAAACTAATAGTTAAGGAAACAAAAAGGATCACAAATATGGCACAATATGAAACTGGCAAAAACTGTGTCTCCATGGTTAGTGTTCACGGGTTTTTCAGTCCTGCTTCCCTATTTGTTAAGAAATAGATAGGCAAAAGTAGAAAGGGCATATGCTCTTTGGAGAAGAATTGCAACTATTTTACAATAATTTTAAAATGTTGGCAAGTTGACCTAAAAATTACTTATTTGAAACTTTATTAGTGCTGGTGACTCAACTTTGAAGTCAGTAGTAATTCTTCCTATTTAAAGGCTCACATCTTCATTACCAAAAGAAAATGACCTTGCACCTTGCTCAGTTGACTCAGGAGCTAATCTGCTTACAGAGGAGTTCCACTGCATCACTAAGTTGTGCTGCCAGTGTACCACAGCAGCCCGAATAGCTTCAAATCCCTTTCTGTCATAGCCCTAAAAGCTTCTATACAACGAGGATTATGCATAATTCAGCTCTACCTTTTTCTATCCCTATAGAGTTATTTATATGTATTTGCTCAGGATTCCTGTTTATAGAGCTCCTTTGGGCAGCAACAACTTAATTTTATGCTTTTATATTAGCTACAAATACTCTGGGATTCAAAGCTAACTTCATTTTGTGGTGTGGATTTAAGAATATTCAGATATATCAGATTACAACGTGGTGCTGTATCAGATASAGCCATCTTGAGTATATAGTCTGTCAAGAAAGAAAATACTGGAAGATCAGAAAGAGTGCAAGATGGTAAAGGTAACATTGCACAGCCCTAGGTAAAATGAGAACAGTACAGCTGTAGTATCACCCTGTTGAAGACAGCTGCAGTCAACTTGATCTTACAGACAGTCTGCCTTTGTCTTGAATGTTTAAAAGGCAATATTGAGTCTCTTGAGCTGGAATATCAAGAGAGGTGGAATCCTGTGAAAAGAGTTGATGAAAACCATTCCTCACACAATTTTCCGTCTTAAAAACAAAAAAGCCTTTCAAATTAGATTCATCAGTTCTTGTTTGCTTTGAACAATCAATAAAAAAYAAAGATGATCCTCCATGCTATTTTCAATACTGCAACAAAAATGAAAAAYCCTAATAATTGAGTGGCATCTAATCCACTGCAATTAATGGTTTCAGTGTGCCTGCTGCTCTTGGTCTGTGCTTTTCCATTGTACACAGAACTCAAACACATAGGTCAAAATCCTCTCAGAAACAGTTGAGAAACAGAATTGACTCTTGCTATGCTAATTTTATCAACATTGTGACTTATACTGAAATACATAACTGTTACATATCAGACCACTAGTTAACACCCATGTCTACTCAGAAGCTTCTTGCTTTTCTGCTCACAACACTGTCATTTGTGATCAGTTGTGAAGATTCATTCCCTTTCTATTAATTTCATTATATATTTCCACGTACTTTTGAAAGTATGCAGCTTACAGTTCTTTTACAGTTCAGGAAGTTTGCACAGCTTTTGGAGACGCAATATTGCACCATACATACTGTACATATACAGTACAGCTTACTTCATTATGAAAAGCTTTTATGCAGTCTGTAACATGTTTTCATGCAATTCATTCTAAGCAGGCCGAGTTACATGCTTGCATGTTATCCCTACAGGAACATAACCCTTCTGCTTCTGTAGGCTGCCCTGCTYGGTATGTTTTGCTCCATATCTCATCATCTGTTATTTTTATCAGCTATGTTTCTACAAGTCCCATTAGCATCACTGCAATTTATGCATTTAGATGCATATTACATTTAGGTGTAGTGATGGGAATACAGATAAAAGCCATTTGTTCTGTTACTCTTACCTAGAAAAGCCTACAGTACATTTGTTATTTGATATACTGAAAAGAATGATCAACGTCTTTTGACATAAAAAGAACTGTCTTCTGCCAGGATAACCACTGTCAGCAACTGATGCATGGAGGTTTCTGTCGCACAGATCAGCTGCATCATTCTGCACATGATTCAATGAGACATCTCTAAAATGGAGCCAGAGAATCCAACTTCATTATTTAACTACTTCAAAACAAGATTGAGTGGAATACTGGAATGTGCTTTTAATTTAAGAATAATATTTCATCATGGTCAGATGCTTAGCTTAAGCTTGCAAGCAAATACATTCCACTGCACTGCAGTAACAGAGCCTTCTAACAAACTTCATATTCTCATAGTATAGCTAATTGAAGTGAAGACCTAAATTGAGCTGTCTGTAACATGGCAGTTTGGAAGATAATTCCCCTTTGCTCATATCAAACCTGGTGGAAGTTTAACTGCATCAAACAGCACGCATCCAGTTGGTGATATGTCAACTGGATTTCTTTGGCTTCCAATCTGGTACTCCACACAGTCAGAACTAAGTGGTATCTGATCCTGTTATGGTGTGAAGGTACAGAGCTTTTGATGTTAACTCAGTCACAAGCCATCTCTCTCAGAGCAAAGAGGGAAAGAGGAAGGCTCTCCAAAATCCAGTACACATGTTTTTAAGAGAAAAAGGTGAAAGCTTGTAGATCTGTAACATTTGGGTTCATTAATACYTCTCTAACATGTATTATTATTTTTTATTAATTTTGTTTGAGGCTTAYAGCATAGCACAGACATCATGTCAGCCAAGGGTGCTGTAAGTTTAACGATTATATCATCATTCTAGTCTGCCGCCTTCTAACTCATTCAGTGTTTTATCATCTTGAAGTCCTACTGGGAAAATACTGCATGCCTATCAAATGAGACAAAGCAAAACAGCAGGTATTTTCTGTTGTCTTGTAATTCGGATGATGAATTGTTTAAAACTCCATCTCAAGAGTGTAATGAAGTCAATCATACGTGTGAGGGCATGCACTGGCTTTTGATTGCCAGTCACACTGCTCAACCCTCCTGCGCCCAGATTTTGAAAGACACATTTTAATGCCTCAGTATTGCAAGTAGAACGGATAGGCAATTTTTAATCAATACAAGAATTTCAAGGGCTAACAGTGGCTTCACTGTGAATTCATGTCCTGGAGATTTCTGGAGATAGTCTCCCACCTCCCCTCTCTATGCTGCACCATAGTGGTTGGAATAATAGAACTGGATTGTTGTACTTGACAGTTTCAGCTGACAGAGGGAAACTCAATTTGTTTCAATGTTGCCCTATATTAAAGACAAACACCAAGGTTTTGTCTGTTTATTTTTTGAGTTAAATCTAAAATTTTTAGATAAACCAGATCTTTTTCCATTTTTCAGGTCTATCTGAATCTGCCCCTAAACTGTTGGCACACCCAAGAACAAATTATCCATGTAACCTTTAATATACCATAAGGTAAGTGAAACAGCTCTTTCATCTCTTAAATATTATATACAATACATGCAAAGCATACTATTTTATAATATAAAACTCCATCTGTAAATCCTAGTGCTACAGAAATCATTGCTGACTTCAGAAGAATATGTCTGTGCCCAATACATTTTCCTTTCATAAGGTTGTGTTGCTGATGTTACTGCTTAGTGAGTCACACCTCTTCCAATATATTTCTCTCATGCCGAGTTTTACCAAGGGTGTAATTACACATTTAATTGTATAGCACACAAACCACCAATATAGTCCCTCACTTTCATATGTCTAATTGAATCTTAAACACTTTTGGTTGACCATGAGAAGCCTTCACAAACCATCTCCATGCTACTAACAAATTTTTCAGCACAAAAGGAGTGGCAAAGCTGATCTAATTGGTGAAAAAGGCATCCTGTACAACTTAAGAGCCAAACATGAAAAAAATTCTTAAAATCTGACATGAATTTTAAATGTTCAAATCTCAGACCATGGAAAGGATGACAGAATTAAGGAGAGAACTGCTACTGTAAACAAAGGATCATTCAGAAACAGCTGCATTTATAGTTAGGGTCCTTTCAAGTGAGGAGGGTTTTAAAAAGCAATAAATACAAATCTTAATGTTTTAACTTACAGTGCATACCTGCGTCTGCAATTCAAGCTGTCCAAAAGGCAAATTCTGACTGCTTTTGATTAAGGTCTCTAAACCGCATAAACTCTTCATATGATTAACCAAATRAGTGAGTTCTCATTTAAATCATAGCAAAGATCTGAAAACTACTTTTCCACTTAAATAAATCCAATTCATTAATTGCTTTCCACTAACATACTGATACCTTCTCTCTGTATATATAGGCTCAYGAACAGTTTGAAAACTGATCTGTTCTGATGAGCCTTCCTGTTAGCACTAGTACTAGGCACAGCATGTGGGAGTACTTATAGAAAAGAAGTTGCTGCACATGTAGCTTTCTCAATCAGAAAAATGCAACCTGACAAGGTCAGTCACAGGTAAGTCACAGGTATTTTTTAAAAATTTTATAACCAGTGAGGTCTAAGATGTATATTCCTGGTGGTGTTTGTTCCTCTAGTAGTGTTTGTGTACTGGGTTATCATGATAGCTGAAGAACATCATGTTCTAACATGGATGAGTTTCCTTTAATCACTTTTGAGAAAGGCAGTAAAACTTCTTTCTATGTATATCGTATTTGGCTTGAATAATTGTGAGCCAGAGTCCAGGTGGTTAAATAATAACAGTTCAGGTGGTCAAAAATCTGAAGYCCAGCCAAATAGCACACAGGTTGCTAATTAGAAACACTTCATCTCCACAGCGCCTGTTACAGTGACAGGCCTTGAGGAATTCTGCTTCCTTTTTAATTTTT